CAACTGGCTGGTGGGGAAACTGAGGCCCAGACTAGATTTGGAATAGACTCCCCCCAACCCTGGCAATGAGGCCATATTCAAGGTGCAGACCTCCTTGCTCCTCACCCAGTGCTCACCCTAATGTATCCCACACTTGAAGCAGCGCATGTATCCCCCGGGATAGGCTATTGTGGGAATATTGATTCTAGATCCTAAGGTACTGAATCAGCTTTTCCCAGGCACCAGGCCTGGGATCTTCATTCATAACCATCTCCCAAATGTTTAGGGGAAACTACCTTTGGAAAATGCTGTTGGCCTGAAAAGCAGCTGGCTGTTTCTCCTTTTAGCCTCTGTCTGAGGAAGGAGAGGAAGGGTCTCTGCTGCAGGACCCATGGAATACAGAAGTGCAAGGGGAGAAAGAATTTTTCCCCACTTTGGAAACTCTGGAAGGCGAGTACTGATGCCTGTAGCCTGTGCCCCCATCTTGGGTCTGGCCCGAGGTCATGAGGCCTAGCAATGCCCACATGCATAAGAGACAGACTTTGGCCTATGTGTAGATGAAGCCTAGTGTGCATCTGGGGCCCTAACCTGGATGACCTATGCCATGGCCAAGCCTCTACCAGCACCAGCAGCCCCCAGTCTCCACCCCAGACCTGCCCTGCGACCTGGCCCTCAGCCCAGCCCCAGCCCCCGCAGCCGCCTGCCAGAGACCACAATTACAGGGGCCACTGGGGGTGGGGGTGGGGAGCTAGGAGGATGAAAGGCAGCTAGAGAATGATTCCAGCTGTGGCAGCTCTGGGGGAGGTCTCACACGGAGGGAGGAAGGGCTGGGGGAGGCACAGGGTGAGAACAGGTGGGACCCTCACAGCCCCAGCCTAGCCCAGTCCAGTCCTGCTCTGTCTCGATGCTCAGTTGGAGAAGTTGGTCTGGGTGAAGAAGAGAAGGAAGATCTCTAGATGGATAAGGGGCCCCGCCTTCCTGGTGACCCTGCCTCAGCAAGGTAAGGGGAAGCAGCTCCCTGCTTCCATGTCTCCAGCTTCCTAATGTGTGACTCTCAAAGGGAAAGAGAGATGAGTTGGGAGTCCTTGGCCTCCGACTCATCCTAGGCCTTCCACTCAGCCTTCTCATCCATCTGCTATGTTCTGCCTTTTCCTGATGTGGTCACACACCACACACATCTGGGGTGCCTCTGTGCTCTTCCCCTTTGCCCAAGTTCCACATGTCCCCCACCCCTCAGCCAGCAGGGGACCTTGCCTGTGCCTGGGGCTGAGCAGCTGGGTGAGCTAGGGGAGGGGATGTCAGGGGGCACTTCTGAGCAGCGCAAGAGCACAGCGCCATCTCTGCGCTTACAGAGGAGCAGGCTTGTGACCGCCAACCATGGCTTCCTGTTCAGCGTCGTCACTTTTTAAGTTAGGGAGTTCCCAGACCCCTGTGGGACTCGGGGTCTTAGACAATGGATCCCTGCCATGTGACTAGCAACTTAAAGACCTCAGCAGAGCTGGGCAGTGGTGGCACACACCTTTAAGCCCAGCACTTAGGATGCAGACACAGGCAGAGTTTGAGGCCAGCCTGGTCTACAGAGCTGGTTTCAAGATAGCCAGGATTACACAGACAAACCCTGTCTAGAAACACCCCTCCCTGCCCCCAAAAGACTGCAGTCTGTTCTGTGCTTTCGCCATGTGCCAAGAAGGTCTCAGACAGCCCAATTTCGTGATGGGGTCACTGAGGCACAGATAGGTTAGCCACTTAGCTGCTTAGCTGACTTGGCCAGGGCCTTTTTTTTTTTTTTTTTTTTAAACTACATCTTACCTTCTTTTCAACCTACTTGGAGTGGTGTAGATTCATATGGTCTGCTTTTCTGCCACATAGAGGAAAATACTCAACACCCACATCATCCATCTCATCCCAGAACACCCTACCAGAACCAGGCAGTCATAGAGACACAGACTGGAGTCCCAGTCCTAGGCCTGGTCAACCTAGAGGTTCCAGACAGCCTGAAACCCCAGCGGCTTGACCTAAGCTGTCCGTGGGTCTCTAGCCGTGCCTTCCTGCTCTTGAATTCCGCAGACTTCTCCTCTGGCTGCTCTCTCCGTCCATAGAGAAGTTGGACTCTGAGGCCCTCTGGTGGTCTATTTGTGAAGTACAAGACATTGAAAAAGCGCTGGACTGAGCGGGCATTGTTAGCGCCTGGGTGACTTTCATAGTCTGCACCAGGCTTTGGGTCTGCATTGGGGAAGAGGAAGAAGGGAGGAGAAGGGAGGGGAAGGAAGAGGGAAGAGAAAGGAAGACAGGAGAAGGGAGGGGAGGAGAAGAGAGGCACCACAGCGGCACCCTCCCAGAGCTCTGGGAAAGGCAGATCTGTGACTATAAACTCCACCCCTCAGAGCTTTCCTTTCCTGTCTTCCCTGAGGGCCATTTCTACTCTCCCTCTTGGAAAGTTAGAGTCTGCTTCTGCCAGGGGGTTCTGAGTTCAAATTCTCAATGAGATTGCCCTGAAGCCCAGGCATCTGATGGAAGAAATACAGAGGGAAACCACAAATGCCCCTTCCTTCTTCCACAGCCTGACATCCCCTGCCTACTATGATGCTTGCGGTCCCGGCCCAGATAGACCATCCAGTGGGAGTAGATGGAAGCCACCATTGGTGTCTGTCCTGAGTTCCCTTCCTCTGTTTCATTTGAAGAAAGAACTCTGTGCCCCATCCCCTGCGGTCTTAGGAATCTGCCAATCTGTCATAGTAGCGTGTTTTCCCGGTGAGTGTTACTGGTTCAGGTTGAACTAATCAGTGTCTTCCTTGGGACTATAATGGAAGAGGCTTTTAAAAATAGATTGTGTGTGTGTGTGTTTATGCTTTGCCTGTATGTATGGTTGAGCAACATGTGGATGTCTGGTGCCTGCAGAGTCAAAGAATGTATCTGGTCCTTTGGAGCTGGAATAAAGGACGGTTGTGAGCTACCATGTGGATGATGGGAAATGAACCTGGGTCCTCTGGAAGACCAACAAGTGTTCTTAAACACAGCAATTTCTCCAGCCCCAGGATCCCCTTCAAATCCTAAGCATGTAGGCCCAAAGCTGTCATATAGAGAAAATGTACACAGGGAGAGGATGAGGATGGTAGACAGACATGGTGAGCTGAAACAATGAACATAGGGGGTAGGGACTGAGGAATAAGAGAGACAGAGGGGGCGAGGAGAGACAGAGAGACCTGTAATGACATCACTGAAGTCCGTGCATTCAGCTCCGCTGTGGCTGAATCCGGGCTAAATTCTGTACCTCCCTTTGGCCTAGTCTGACGGTTGGATGTCTTCCCTTGCAGTCAGAGCCGCCCCATACCTGCAAAGCAAGAGCCCACTCCTCCTACTCTCACAGAAACTACCCTTCGTGAAACAGGGAGTTGGCATAATTTACCAAATGCTGTGCTAAGTGTTCTTCCTGTCTCAAGAAAAAGAAATCCTCCCAAGGTTTCTCTGAGGGTGAGGGATGGGTCAAGATGGCTGCAAACTCTTTGTCTTTCCTCCCACCCCTCAGAGCTTTCTATTTCCCCCTCCTGACTCTGTGATCTGTTCCAGCCAAGAGAGAGCAGTAGTGATGTTATGTAACTTCTACGGCTGGACTCTCAGAAGACAAAATCTGCCTAGAGGCTCGACTCTCTCTTTTCTTCATGTCTTCCTTCCTTCAGGCCACCACGCGGGGGTGGGGTGGGGGAGGAGACCAAGTCAGCCACACAGAGAACCACCAAGTCCTTAGGCATGGAAACAAAACCTCATCAACACCCCCAGAGCAGCACATCTTCCAGCAGAATGACCCCAGGCACTCCACACCAAATTGCCCTCTGAACCAAACCCCTGAGCTGAGTTCTGACACATAGTTGTCCAAAAAGGATACCGAGTAGTTATTTGGAGGCTGTTGTTACTTTGCCGTAGATAACTGAGATAGAGTGAGACCACACAGGAAGAGAAAACAGGCCATATTGGCCTGGGCTACCCCAGCTTCAAACAATAAGAATCTGAACCAAAAGCCCATACCTTTTCCTGCTTAGCTGCAAGGGGATGGAGTCATCCCCTAACTGCAGCATTCGCACTGGGGGGATATTCCACAGGTGGGCTGTGCCCCCGGTTCTCTTGGATTGAAGATGAGGGCACAAGCCTCAGCTCTAGAGAACCCAGAACTATTCGTGTGTCCTTTAACCCTCACAATCAGCTCCCTGAGGGGAGCCTGCTTAAAATATATATATATATATGGCTGGGTGCCAGACAAGACCCTGGTACAAACTTGTTTCCTCTGAGTGTGATTAGAAACACTATACTAGGCAGGCGCAGTCTGGAGAGAGAGAGAGAGAGAGAGAGAGAGAGAGAGAGAGAGAGAGAGAGAG